GCTCTGCTCCCCGGCGCAGGAGGGGGGGTCATGCGGGGGGGCAGGGCTCTTGCAAATAAATGACAGTCCTCCGGACCACAAAGCCCCTACTCCCACAGCACAGCCTGTGCGGGTTGGGCAGCCGGGGCCTGTGGGTAGAGATGGGGAGGTAGTAGCAGAGTGGCAGGAGAGGGGGAGACGCCGGGGCTGGAAATGAGAACTGCGGGCCATCCACAGAATTGGGGGAGGAGGCATGGCAGCAGGGTTGCACTGGCAAAGGGACAAGGGCTGGCTGGCTCCCTGCCGGCTCCTTGCCTGGCTCCAGGACTGCTAGCCCTTTAATTGCTCAAGCGCTAACTCCATCCCAAAGGTTCAGGGGAAAGAAAAGAGGCGTTTCTGTGCTCTGCTGTGGCTGGTTTCTGCTTCTGCACCAAGAGCGTGTGGTCAGGAGCCTGGCGTCTGCAGATTTACTGCCATTCCGCGCATTGCTGGGATCATCCTATTTACTTGGCGCAAGCCAGAAACTGTCTGGGGCAGATCTGGGCAGTGAACCAGCAGGGGCGGGGGCTGAGCTGCATGCAGGAGTATGGCCTGCAATCCCCGGGGAGCCCCCAAGGGCCCGGCAGAGCCACACTTGGCTTCTTAATGCCTGTGTCCAGCTGCCAGATAGCACAGGCCAGGAATGCAGGCAACACACTGGCCGTGTTGGCTGGGGGATGGGCAGCTGGCACCCAGGCTGTCCATAGAGCTCAATGCATTGGAAAATGTGGGCCTCTGCTTTGCTAGTGTCAGGCTGTGGTGATTCACTAATCAGTGAAGCCCTGGGGTGCCCTCCGTCAGCACTGGCATAGCACAGGGAGACAGGTGTGCTCACCCCAGCGGTGGCTGCATTTTGCTAGCAGGCATGGCGGTCTGCCAAGCTGCGAAACGTGTTCTAGGAGCCCACGAGGTGCAGGGCACTGGATCAGAGACGCTGCTGTGCAGGTCCCCCACTCCGATCACCACAGGCCGCCTCAGTTGGGCAAGGCCAGGTCAGCCGCTACAGGTGACCCACCCGTCCCCTGCATCTCGCCGAGAGACCAGCAAGAGGTGCAGTCAGGGCCTGATTTCCACTGTTGTCCTCAGGCTGAGGGCTGGTGGGGGCGGTGAGCTAGCCTAGCAGATGAGGAGGGCAGGGGAACGAAGGCTCCAGCCGGAGTGGGACTAGGAAGCAGGTTCCTCTGTTCTGTGACCCATCATCAAGGGAGGAGCGTATCAGCAGCACTCCCCACCCAGCGTGCAGCTGGCCCAGCCCTGCCTAGACTGAGAGCCCAGCCAACGGCCCTGTCATCCCATGCAGACCGACCCCCTCCCCCATGCTTGCTTCTATGCCTGAGCAGGAATACGCCACTACTGGGCAGGATGGATACGAATGGGGCCAGCACCTTCCAGCTGCACCCCCAGTCCCTACCGCCAGGGCCGGGTCTACAAGCCTGAAACTACAGGAGAGGAGCCTGGGTTGGCTCCCAGACCTGAGAGCAACAGCCAGGGTTGGGATCTCAGCAGGCCAGGGGCATGAGGCCCCATGTTCCTTCCCCACTTCCTGCCCTGGGCACGAATAGCACCATGAGCTTCAAGAAGGGCTGTGAGTGAAGCCATGGATCAGAGCGAGAGGGTCCCTGTGCACCAGCCTGCGGGAACACCGCTGCTGCCTGCACACACCCCGATTGCTGTAGGCGCTACACCCAGCTGCTGCCTCCCAGTGAGACCCTCCTGGATGGGTTCTCCTAAGAGCCCAGCACCGGGCATGTACCAACTCGCCAAGCTCTGCTGCAAGTCTGGCCCTTGGTGGGGCCAAGCCCCGAACATCCAGCCCTGTTGGCAGAGCAGTGGCTGCCACCCCACTGCGCAGCACACCCAGACCCACAGAGCCGACAGCAGCGCCTAGGCCAGTGGGGCAAGGCGAGACGCCAGGCACCCGGAGGAATGGCAGTGCCCTAAGGGCCTGACTGCTCCGCCACATCCTTTGGGCTCTGTCTACACTGCTGAGCTGCAAGTGCTGCTGTGGCCACGGCACGCGTGCCAGGTACCCCACCTCCAGGAGGGGCGTAGCTACCCGTGCCGGGAGCCTGTTTACACTGGAACTTGCTGCCCTTCGCGGGGTGGAGGGAGGATGGTCTCACCCCCCCGTGTGAGCAAGTCACAGCGCAGTGTAGACGAGTGGCTGTGTAGACAAGCCCTTTGCACCGGCAGAGCGGGGCCGCCCTGCCCCTCCCGCCCCTGCGCCAGGGCAGACGGGGAGGCGGCAGGACCCCGGTGGCTCCAGCTTTATGCTCACAGACAGTCCCTGCCCCGCAGCATGTGGCTCCCCCGGCTGGCGCCATCCATCACCTGCAAGAGGCGCTGGCTCTCAGGGGCCCCCGGGCCTGAGTGAGCTGTGTGCAGCTGGGGAGTGGGTCACGCCTTACCCAGGAGCGTGCCTACCTGGCGCACACGCTGGGGCTGCGTCTGGCATGGTCTGCGCTGCTCTGGCACCCTGCAGAGGCGCTGGGAATGCCCTGGAGCTGCTCTCGGACACAGACACGGTCCCCCCGCCCCCTCCCCACGCGCCTCTGCACCCAGAGCGCCATGTGCAAACAATTCCCACCATACGGGCCCTGGGTTGTCATGACAACAGCATGTCCGCTGGGTTCCTGAGGGGGGGGGAATCGTCCCCA